GGCGCAGCCAGTGCTCCAGGTGCTTGGCGTAGATGCCGATCTGGATGGCGCTCCACGACGTGTCGATGAGGCCCGCGCTCCTGTTCCGGAACGTCAGGCTCTCGAAGGTGGGGATGTCGGGCCGCTTGGACAGCGTCTGCGTGTAGTCCGAGATGGCTCTGGTCACCGGGTCGCGCACCACCACGATGAGCTTGGTGTCCTTGGACATGGCCGAGATGCGCGCGGGCGCCTCCCGCGTCACGAAGTAGCTGGGCGTCTTCTCCATGGTGATCTGGCCGTCCAGGGTTCTGGGCATCAGGTCCCTGAGGAAGGCAAAGGCACGTTAGAGACTGAAGAATGAGCCGTTGCCCCTAGTGTAGAGAGTTCATTGCAAGGCAGTGCCTCACATATTCAGGAGGCAGCCTTCCAGAGCGAGGTGCCAGCTCCTCCGACCTCCACACCTCCCACCCTCTGACCCTGGTGAGGGTGCATAACCTCTGCACCCCGCTTCCTCTTAAACCGAAAATAATATGACCTATAGCACACGGCTGTGGTGATTAAATGATCTAACATAACTCCGCAGTTTAGAAAAGTGCCTGCCACAGAATAAGTGCATGTTAACTTTCTATTTTTTAAAAATGATCAATCCTCAATGCTGTAAAAAAAAAACAATCAAATTATTAGGGGAATTAGAATGTGGTCATAAACACAGCAATATGCTATGAGATGGTGTTAAGATATTCGGAGCCCTTCCTGTAGTTTTCTTATAAAGAAAGCAATTAGTAAACATAATACCAGAGCCCACTACACAAAACACTTTAATTCATAATTCCTGAATTTCCCTGTAACAAGTTTACTCAATAATCTATCTCTTATCTAATGATTTGAAAAGCCCAACATCATTCTATTCTAAACAGCTCAGTTCCTTTCTACTTTGGTCCAGTTATAAATGATAGTATGTTTTCATGTACGCCTATGTTAATTCAGACTTTCTGTTGTTCCATAGGTTCTTGGACATTCTTGTTTGCTTAATCTTCCTGATCAATGGTAAAGTCACTCTGTCATTTTAGAAAGAAAACAATCCCATTGGAGCTTTTATTTTTCATTTTTTCAAGTCCATGCACAGTTTTCCATAATACAAATTTTTATTATTTCCTTACTTTTATTTATTATTGTCATCATTTTTTCAATTCATTATAGGGCACATGCTCTCACCACAGAGAGAGAGAGGAGGAAAATGAGAACGCAAGCCATCAGGTCCAGGACTTGAACCATGGTCAGCCATGTGGGAGTCCAGTGCCTTAGCTACCAACCTCTGCCTACCCCTGCCCTCACTGGAGTTTTGATAGGGTAGATATTGCTGTTTGGTTCCAGCATGCCTTCCTACAGAGATATAATAGGCCTCCTGGCCAGTCAAAAAGTAGAAAGAGGAAAGATGAAGTCTGTCTTCTTCACACACTAGTCATTTGAAATACACATTCGAGTGCAGTTGGGTATATGTACATTCTAATACTGAGGCACTATCTAATTCTGAGTTTTATAAGAATTAGTATTCGATTAAAGGTATGTTTTGGAATTAATTGCAATGATGAAATGCATTTTGCCCTTTGATCCATTGATGATAAGAACCAAACCTATAAACATCTTTATATTGGATTCATGTTTATTCCTGAAATAAATTCTATTTGATGATAGTGCATTGTTCCTTTAATATAGTCTTAGAGCTTATCTGTTACGATTTTGTTTTGGAGTTTCTGTTCCTATTCATTCATAAGAGGTAACTTATTTTTCTTTTGTTCAATAGCTTGATAGGATATAAATTATTCCATAAATAAAAAGGGTTGAGAAGTGTTTCATAGTTTTTTATAGTCTAGAAAAGTTATAGTAACAAAATAATTTTTTATTCTTTCACAGTTTGGTGGGAGTCATTTACAAAGCGATCAGATACTGACACTTTTGGGTGTGAGGGTAGAGCCCAGATCTTTTCACTTTCCTATATGAGCATTGGTTTAGTACAATACTTTCTTGTCACCTATTGATTTGGACAATTAATACTTTTTTCCTAAATTCATCAAATGAGTAAGTACAGTTCTATCCCATTTTCTTTTTTCAAACACATGTTTAAGGCTTTTGCCATAGGGTGTGTGTACTCATTGGAGAAACAGAAAGGCAGAGGGGGAAAGTGAGAAATCACCTCCTTAGGGAAGATGGCCATGCTTGATCCCTTCTTCTCCATTCTTTTCCTGGGATTCTGGGCATGCATGCACACGTGCCCTGCCTGAGTTCCAAGCTGTTGGGTCTGGGACTTGAACCATGGTTGATCAACTGAGAGTTCAGCACCATAACCACTATGCAACCTGCTTGCCCTCTCAGTGTGATTTTTAAGCCAAGTCACCATGTCTGAGACTCATATTGAGGTCAGCCATGTGGAAACCTGGTGCCGTAACCACCATGTCTTCTGCCCGCCCTTGCATGGAACGTTTTGAAGTCCCCTCATACTGTTACCCTTATCTTAACTTTGTCGGTATACAGTAGTTACAGTTTTGATTGCCCTTTTGATACAGGCATTACCTAGGAATTTTTTATTTTTTTTCCGAGAGGTTTTTGCTATAGGGTGCGTGCACTTGCCAGAAAGACAGAGAGAGACAGAGAGACAGAAAGCGAGAAATCACCCCCCCAGGAGGGATGGTCACGCCTCAATCCCTTCTCCATTCTCCTCTTGGGATCTTGGGCACGCATGCACACACGCCCGACGTGAGTTTAAGCCACGTTCTGGGACTTGAACTGCGGTCAACTACATGGGAGTCCAGCGACATAGCCATTATGCTAACTGCTGGTCCTGGAATGTATTTATTTTTAATTGTAATGTCTGAATCATTGTTGTTCCTAATTTTGTTATTAGTTTCTATTTTGCATTTGTAGTAAAAAAAAAATGCTTGGTATTGTTTTGTCTTTTGGTGACTTCCTGCAATTGGCCCACCTACACTATTTACTAACTATATATCGTGGAAAATGTCAGACATATACAAAAGTAGAAAAATTGTAAAGTAAAATTTCATGCACCTTACATCAGGTTTAAATATTAATAACGGCTGCCCATTTCATTTATAAGTGCCCCCATTTCTACTCCTCCACCATGCCAACTACATTATTTAAATCAATTAAAGATATCATATAAGTTGGTTTGTAAATATTCTAGCTCTCATCAGCATTATATCTGGCACAAATTTATCAACATTATCAGTAATCGTGTGACAACTACCTTCCTTTAATGCAGGTTTTTTTTTTTTCTCATTTTTGTCTTCTTTAGTAATTTCAGTCAGTTCATTTTTACTTTTTTATTTTTATTTTATGGAAAGATAAATGATAATTACATGTTTCATTTCTGTTGGGTTTTGTGTGTGTGTGTGTGTGTGTGTGTGTGTGTGTGTATTTTATTTGAATTTGCAGTTCCTTTTTCCACATCGCTGGTAATGTGCTCTCATTACACACCTCTCAAATATACCTTCATTCTGAAAAAGAGTAACTTGGGGGGGGGGGTCAGCGATGGCACAATGGTTACATTGCTGGATCCCCACATGGCCAGCTGAGATTCAAGTCCTGAACCCAGTGGCTGAAAACGCATGTGAGGCACATGTGCATGCATGCCCCAAAGCCTGGGAGGAGAAAGGATTATGGCCTGGCCATCCTGCCTGGTGGTGGATATGATTTCTTACTTTCCCTCTTACTGTCTCTCTGCCTATGTCTTTCTCTGTCCCTCACTAGGAGCAGAAAAGTTTGGGTTACAAGAACACACCCTAAAGCAAAAACCTCTACCAAAAAAATAAAATAAAATAAAAGAGTGAGCGAAGGGCCACGCCTAGGGTGCAGTCAATAGTGCACTGAATTATAGCTCCGAAAGCCATGTGGCACCCATGGATTTGGTCTGATGGCCAGTTGACCAGGCAGGCATGCATGTGTCCAAGATCCTGACAGGCTGAAAGGCTGAGGGAAGGAGATCAAATATACTAAAGTGATCAAAATATTTATTGATTAAAGAATTAAAAAGCCAGCCTGAGACCGAAGACATGGAAGGTGGGAGCTGCTGCTTCATGTGTGCCGATGCTTTCTCACCCTTCTAAGAGCAACATGGAGGCTCAAGATGCTTGGATTGAGCTCATGGGGGACCCCTCCTCAGCCTCCTGTGGTGGAAGAGCAGCTGCTTCTGTCCAAGTGGTACATGAAGTGGTCTACCATCTTACATTCTACCTGTGTAGCTCAAACTCCAGCCACATGGGAGCAGAAAGGTTTGAGTTACAGGAACCAAACACCTGAAGATAGAGACTAGGGAGGAATTCTCTCCCTACAACCCCTCTAACAGTAAAAAGCGAGAAACTACCCTCTGAAAACCTGAACCCTAAACTCCTACTGTGGATTTCACCCTCCCGCTCACAGTAGAAAGGGAACTGGCATGGAGCTTACACATGTCATAGAGAAGTGCAGGAGCACAGAGCCACAGAAATATACTCCATAGTCATAGAAGAATTGAGTATATTACTGGACAACTAAAAGTCAATGCAGAGACCTAAGAAATAGAAAAATATCATGAAATATCTCCCCCCTCAAGGGAACATAATAATTCCTCACCAACAATGGATAAAACACAAGAGGTCACAAAAAAATATCAGAAAAGGAATTCAGAATATTCGTTGTAACAAAACTCAGTGAACTACAAGAGAAAACAGACAACCAATTTGAGGAGATGAAATAAGTCCTTCCATGACTTGAATGAGGAACTCCATAAAGGGACAGACATACTGAAAAGTAATCAAATAGAACTTCTGCAGATAAAGAATATAATGCAGGAAGCCAAAATCTCCTTCAAAAGTATCAACAGAAGATTGGATCATGCAAAAGAAAGAAAAAAAATAAATAAAAAGAAATAAAACTTTGACCTTGAAGAAAAAAGCCTCTGATTTCATACAAATAACTGACAAGAATAGAATAACCATTCAAAGTCAGGACAACATATGAGAAATCTTGTACATCATTAATTGGTTGCAGAGTCACTGAACAGGCATTCCAGAAGGCAAAGAGACAAAGACATAGAAAATCTTTTCATGATATATGAGCAGAAAACTCCAAATTTAGAGAAGCATGTCAGTATCCAAATCCAAGAAATACAAAGGATATCAAATAGATATAACATCAGAAGATCCTTTCCAAGGCATATCGTACTCAAACTGGTAAAACCCAAAAACAGTATTCTAAAACTGGCAAGAGAGAAATGCCAAGTTACTTACAGACATTACCCCATTAGACTAACATCAGACTGAAACAATGC